CCACTAACACAGCTCTATTCACTTGCGCTGGGAAGTACGCACCTGGAACACAACAGGGCCGTGAAAAGATAGCACCAGAACAGACTGATGGCCAAAACTGAAATTCAAAAGGGATGCTACAATCAAGCCAATAAAAAGTAAAAGAGCTGCGTTGTAGTTCCCACTTCTCCCACACTTATTTTTTACTGTTTCTCCACAAGTTCCTAACTAGTGACCTTTAAATGCGTCCCCCTTAGTTCACTGACTTCTTACTTTTGTTTTCTACTTATGTAAACTGATAGTTTTTCTCCCCAATCCGATACTCGTCCTTTGAATTCTCACTCTGAAGAATACAGCCCACCAATGGCAGTTTTTAATTTCCTCTGATAATACACTAACATTCTAACATTCAAATTATATAATATTGTGTATCATTTAAAGTCCAGCGAAATGTCACCCACCAGAAATAACTATATAAGCAATCTGTTGTGTATTTTTCACCTATGTTTTTCTACGTGTATATTAAAGTTATATACATGTAAATGATATTATACCATACCAATTTAACTTAAATACATGAACCTGTTATAAACTCTTTATTATATCCCATGGTGTCGCACTAGGCACAACCATTAGATATACAATGAGTTTGTAGTATGCTTTATTATCTGGTAAGGTGATAAATCTTTTTAAAAACAAATTTAAAATTTTAAAAACAAAACAAATCTTTTTAAAAACTCTCTTCCATTTGGTGAAACTTTTACCTTACATATACACTTTACATTTTAGAATAACTGCACCAAACGTCCTCTGAAAATCTTTAATGGAATGTTCCTTGAAATTGCATTGACTTTATGAATTAATTTGAGGAGAACAGACATCTTTACAATGCTCATGTGTCCTTTCCATGTACATGGTTTATCTCTACATTTAATCAGGTCTTCATTTAAATACTTTTAAGCATATTTTTAAAATAGAATCCTTAAAAGTCTTGTGTATTTACTATGATGCCAATTTCTACATAATAATTAGTTTTCTATTACTGTAAATGGTATGTTAATTTCTATTATTTTTAGACGATTTTTGTTGGTATAAAGAAAACTATTGATTTTTTAAAGTTTATTATATCTGAACATCTAACTGAACATTAACACCAAGTTAATTATGTTTGGCTCTAGGGAACCCAGTCACTGTCTTTACTCTTAAGAAGAGAACCTTATGCCAGTATTCCTTGAATCACCAAAGACAAAATCCACAAAAGTATCAGCATGAAAATACAGTCATCTTTCTCTCCCTCCCACACAACCAACTTGATGAGGGAGCAAAAGGCTAATAATAAACCCTGTTTATTATGTTTACTGCTTATATCACATAAAAATAATGATAGTTTAACCATTTCTACTCTGATCCTTAAAACTCTCCTTTCTTCCTTGACTTACTGTGTTGGCCAGGACTTCCTTTTTCGCACTGAACAGTAACAATGATGAGGGCAGGACATTCAGCTGTGTTCTTCTAGGGGCATTGCCTTTGGCAAAAGGGAGCTATCTCCTCCAAGGTTTTGCTCTCTCCCTGGGGCAATCCTATCCAAAGACTAGTTGATAACAGGAGAAAAGGGTCTGTGTGGCACATACATCTCTCAATTTAGACAAATCTGAAAAGCCATCCAGAGATCCCTATGTAATTAAGTGAGTCTTGTTTTTGTTTTTGTTTCCTCAAATATTTTTGGATTGTTTCCACACATGCGTGTACCCATCTGCTGAATACTTTAGGGGGCCCTCTGTAGATCTTTGGAATTCTCTTTCTATGCAGTTCTCTCTCCCCTCACATTCTACCCTGTGAACTCTGGCTACCTTGGCCTTCCCTGATTCCCATGTCCTTCTCAACACAGGAAGACTGCCAGGCTACACCTAAGTTCACCCTTCCTTCAACATGGCTTGGAATCTCTCTCCAATAAGTTGTAACAATCTTTCTCCAGTAAACAGGACTCACCTCTTTTGTTTCCTATCTCTTAGGGACCATTGTCCTCTATTATCTCAGGTCTAGTGTCCTCAGAACCATTATTTTGTATATTTTGTCCAATGTTTTGTTGTTGTTTTATTGAGAGGATGAATCTAGTCCTTGTTGCTCATCTTGACAAGCTAAAGCTCCTCTCCAGTGGGTAAAATTATGCTGCACAAGCAGAGGAAAGCACCATCTAACGTCTGACTCTTCCCTGGGCTCAGGGTAAGATATGTGACTACATAAGCCCCCTACCCTCCCCACAAATCAGGAGAGATCTGTTTTACAGCTGAAGCCTTAGTATCTTAGGAGGACTAAAAGGAAATGCACCTCTAGGGGAACCTGAGGTCAGGGTGATTTGGGGACTTCAAAATTTGCCTAAGGAATTTGGAGAAAATGGATTTTAGGACTGCAAGGACAGCGGCGTACAGAAATGGAAAATCACATGAGATGTGACTAATTCAGGACCTTAAAGATTAAGCATGGCACTTAGATTTGTTTTTAAGGGAAGAGTCAATCAAAATGTTCTTCCTTGTGTGTGGAGACAATAGGATGTGTACTCAGAATTAATATGAGCATCTCAGGAAAGACCATGTAACTAGGAATCTTTTTTTCACCCTTTAAGCAAGGACAGCTGCATGACCAGGCCACCAAGTTAATTATGTTTTGCTCTAGGAAACCCAGTTGCTGTCTTTACTCTTAAGAAGAGAACCTTATGCCAATATTCCTTGAATCACCAAAGACAAAATCCACACGAGTATCAGCATGAAAATACAGTCATCTTTCTCTCCCTCCCACACAACCAACTTGATGACGGAGCAGAAGGCTAGCTGAAGATGAAGCATAAGCTGACACCCTGCAACCTCCTCCTCTATGGCCACTCCTGGGTGGGATGTGTGACATTCTTCCAGGAATCTCCCAACTATCTTAATGTTAATACCTTGCTAGAGGGGAAAACAACCTTAACTTGACAATGGCAAGGCCTCTGATATCTTGTAGGTCCTCTTTTGCATTATCTTATAGGTCCTCTTTAGCATATGAAAGTTCTTTTGAAAGCTCCCTTTTCCTTACTTCCCCCAACACCTGAGTATATAATCAGCCACTCCTCAAAATCCTGGTGCTGCAACTCTTTCTGCCCATGGGTCCTGTCCCCGAGATTTAATAAAGCCTCCATTTTGCACGTCTCAAAGAATTCTTTCTTGGTTGTAGGCTCTGGACCTCACCCCACTGAACCTCACCTATATTCCAAAACCACATCAAACTGATAATCAAGTTCTTCTCATTCTTTAAAGACATTCCTCTAAGATACTTTTAACCACTCTTTCATACCCTTTACACTTAAAAGAATAAAGCAGCTCTCCAACTCTCCACCTTTCATCAAGTTTTTTTTTAAACACTCTAATGCCATATAGTATATACCTTTATATCTGATATTTGCAATTTACCAGTCAAGAAATATTACAAAAACAAAGAAGATCATATTTTTGAAAACAAGAAATTAGTACTCTCCACATTTCAAATGCCTTTTATTTTTTTTAAGATTTTTCTTTTTTTTATTCATGAGAGACAGAGAGAGAGAGGCAGAGGGAGAAGCAGGCTCCCCAAGGAGCAGGGAGCCCCATGTGGGACTCGATCCCAGGACCCCAGGATCATGACCTGAGCCAAAGGCAGATGCTTAACCATCTGAACCACCCTCAAATGCCTTTTAAAAATTTGGAATCTACTCACCAGAATCAGTGTTTAAGGATCTCTTAAGAGAGTGGCTCTTGCTTTCACCCTATAGAATTTTGCAAGTAAAAATTATATCTGACCATTGAGTAATGTTATTTGATGAGCCTGAACCCTAAATTCCCTATACCCACATAAATAATGACATCACTCCCTACCAGCTACAATAATATATATGTTTCCTCACCCATTGTTACCAGATTGTGACTTCCAGAATTTTAACAATATGCTATACTTATATTCCTCTCATTTAAGGTTTTTGGGTGCAGCTCCAGACCACATGGGACATAGTCTTCAGTAAGCAGGATGTCCCCTATACTACCACGTCAGTTTTACCATTTCTTGCCTTCTGGTCTTCTCATTCCCACTTCTACCTCCACTTGGGTCTTCAGTGTCCTGGCCTTTCCACAAAGAGTTTGAAGTTGTGTGAGGATTCCGCTGGACATAAACGTATTATTATGAAAATTATGCCTTTATAATAGAATCTTGAACAGTCATGATCAAAAAAAATGGTAACTTTTCTGAGCTATGTGCCTCTGCTTAGTTCTTCCTGAATCTGAAGGGGAATGGTCTAGAAAGATGCCTATTGGCAGCAGCAGGTTCAGAAAAATGACACAGAGGAGCACCTGGGTGCTCCTGTCAGTTAAGTGTCTGACTTTTGATTTCAGCTCAGGTCATGATCTCAGGGTTGTGAGATCAAGCCCCACATTAGGCTCCATGCTGGGCATGGAACCTGCTTAAGATTCCCACCCCCCTGCTCCTCCCCGCCCTCTCCCTCTCCACAAAAAAAGGAAAAGAAAAGAAAAAGAAAAAGAAAAAGAAAAAACAAAAATGACACAGAGATCATGGCCTGAACGGCAGAGCTAGAGATTCAACTGTACCTGAGAAAGGAGTGCTGTGTCATGAAAAGTCTCTGGAGTCGGATAACCTGTACTTGAACTGATGCCCCACCACTCACCAAATGTGACCTTTGTCAATATTTCTCCAAATTTTTATTTTCTAATGTATAACATGAGACAGTAATCCCTGTCCTGTAGAACTATTATGAAGATTAGATGATTTAAAAATATAAATGTCTACATACAAAATTAGGTACCTAAGGTTAGGTACCTGAATAGGCAAATGAACTTTGGTCAGGTACTAAGAGATCCATAGTAATTCCTGATACTAGAGGGACAGAAAGTGGGTAGGAAATATTTGCTATCCAAGCATTATTTTACTGTCTGGAATAACAAATCCCAGACTAGAAACAAAGGAAATAGTAATAGACATTTCTATAGAGATGCCCTTCTATGTATTCAAAGCCCCTTCCACAATAACTTCTGACACCCCTGCTTTAACTCTTTGGTTCGAAATCCATATACAATAGGGTTCAAGGCAGGAGGTATGAGGTGATGAAGGACATTGAGCAAGATGAGGATGTCCATGGGGACCCTCTTTCAGGCCACATTTGTCAACACAACAACCAGCAGGATGGTGCTGAAGAACAGGATAAGGATGAAGTGGGAGCCGCCATGTGCTCAGGGCTTTGACAGCAGCCCCCTCAGCCTTGAACCTAAGCACGGCTCTTAGGATGAAGGTGTAAGAGAGGAAGAGGAGGATGAAATCTGACCCCAGTAAAGCCCAACCAGCCACATATTGGTAGATTCTGTTAAGGGTGAAATTGTCACAGGAGAGCCTGGACATGGACAAGTTGGCACAGATGCAGTTCTCAATGACATTTTTCCCACAATAATGGAGTCGAGCAGTGAGAATAGGAATAGGTGCAGTGAGAATGGCATTTTGGGTGACAATGAAGACGTTAGCCTTGGCCACAAATTGGTCAGTGATGATGGATGGGTATCGCAGTGGGTGGCAGATGGCCACATAGCGGTCACAGGCCATGACCATGAATGTGCAGGACTCCATGGGGAGGAAGCTATTCATGATGAACATCTGGAGGAAGCAGGCTGAGAAGCTGATGGACCTGAGATCAAACCAGAAGATGGCCAGGACCTTAGGGATGACAGGCAGAGCACAATATCCAACAGGGAGAGTAGGCTGAGCAGGTGGTCCATGGGCTTGTGCAGAGAGACCTCCAGCCAGATGGTGATCAAGAGGGTGGCTGGTCCCCATGGCCAGGAGGAAGAGGAGGCTGAGGGGCAGGGACAGCCAGTGCTGCCAACTCTGGTAGTTAGGGAAGCAGATGAGGAGGAATTCAGAGACTAGAGCAGTGGAGTAGTTGCTGGGCGATATCATGAGATAAATCCTAAACAGTTTCACCTGGGTTTATGTACAGTAAGACACAGGAATTAGGTTAATAGAAAACAAAACTGTCAAAATGCTAACACTTACTCATCCAGAAAACTGTTGGATATAGAAGAACAATCCCAAATGAAGGCAAATTTCAGTGAAGATATATATGAATAGGGAGGGAACTTGGCAAATTATTTCTAAAGTTAATTCAGAAAAACAAATAAGACAGACTACCCACAAGGTTTGGAAGGAAAAGAATTACCTTATTAAAACATACTGTAAAGCTACACAAATTTTTCAAGGGAGACTGACATGTGATACTGATAGAGCAAATTTACTAATTAGAGATCCCACAGGTCAGAAATGTTCACTAGTTACAGAGTAATCTAAAATAGTAAAGATGGCATAAAGTCATATTTAACTTGGGTCTTTTCAATATGTATTGCTGACATGATTTGTTAGTGGTAAATTAGTTTTTCCTCAGTTTTTATCACACATCAAAGTCAATTTGAGATGAAAAAATTTATGATATACTTCCAACCCTATAATAAAGCAGAAAAAATAAACCTTGATTAAATATAAAGAAAGTCCCATAAAATCCTCTATCATTCTGACTTACTGTACTCCCAGCACAACTCATCCTTAATTCAAGCCTGCACAAATACAGTTCAATGTTCCTATAGAAAGTTATGCTCAAAGGCAGGCTGTTTTCATTAACATTTATGACCACTAACCTCAAATGAGCGCTTAATGAGAAAGTCCATTGTAATAACCTCTGATTAATTTGCTCCTTCACTCATTGCAAGCAATTTTTTACATTTTCTAAATATTTTCTAAATGGTAAATTCATCCTCTCCTCTCTTAGAAGATCCTACCCAACAGCACCACAAAGACAGGAGAGGCTATCAGATGCAAGTTCCTCAGTATCTATGATAGACTCATAAACTCATCAATACCTATACCTTGCTCTTCTCTTTGCATCTAGCCAACTCAAAGATCTATCCATCCTCCTAGTTACAATCCCCCCACCTCTGATATAGTGTCTATCCACCTCTGATCTTCTTAGAAACTTTGACTTTTTAATTATCCATTCCATTTCCTGTGTAGTCAATCTCTCCATAGATCCTTCCTATGGATATTCAAAATGCTGAAGTCTCTCATGTCTTAATAAATTTCTATATCTATTCCACATGCCCATTTGTTGTAAAGACCATGATTTCAGTTTTGAACAAAGATACCAAATCTCTCTTATTCCTCTTTCTTTTACACCCAAACTTAAGGAACCAGAAGAGACAAAAGAAGCGACTGTCGGCTTCAGTAGTTCAGTTGAGAAGTGATCACTGTGTAAATAAATGCCTCTAGAATGGCTCTAAAGATGTAGAAAAGGAGCATCTTTTAGAGGTATAAATATAATGGCATAAGCAAAGATTAGACTGAGTAGTTCTATAGAAGAAGAGAGGTTAGGAATTCTTAAGTTTTCCCATCTCTTCTGGATTAAATGACTGAATTTCACAAGACAGTCTGTGAAAATATTTGATGTATGTTGTAGAGGTAGAGATGATGGATCCAATTTTGATATGTTGAATTTATAGAGTCTGTAAGCTATCAAAATGTATACGAGTCTGACTTCTACAGAAATGAGTTTGAATTCACTTGAAAGCTAGAGTTAAAGGAAGAGAATACAGAATATAGTTCAAACCACTGTTACTTTTATTTCTCACCCTGTACTTACTATCTTTTCCTGCCTATTCTGCCACCTCTGAAAGACCCCTTCCTTGGCTCTTTGTTCTTTTTCCTGCCCCTTATGTGTAGCCCCTATGCATGAACATGCTTCACAAATCCCAGTCTTTTATCCACCCAGCTCCCTGTCCTCATTCTTTCCTCATACTATAAAGAATGGATCTAAATTAAGTTCATCCTTCTGCTACCTGTATTTCACTAAGAGTGTACTTAATATAAAGGATAAAAAAGGAGAAGATACAGAGGAATAGGAACAGAGAAAAAGGGTCAGATGCCCGGATATATTGCCAGGCAGAAGTTTGGGCGTAAATATGAGTCAAAATTTTGACATATTCAGTTAATAAAAATTATTAGAAACTGACTCTCTACTAAAGGAAGTAACAGTGATCAGAGGGAAGGTGATGGTTCTTCTATTTTTCTTTGCTTTGGTTCAACCATGCTTAGAATAGTGTCCAGTTCAGTGCACCTTGATTTCAGGAATATTTTTTGAAACTTTACCACCTAGAAGAAGATGTCCAGGATAAAAAAGATCCTTAAGAACTCATGATGAGGAACAATTTAGGAAAGTGAAGATATTTTACCTAAGCAATGCCTCCCAAATATATGACTGACTTTCAAAAAGAAGAGATAAAAACTAGGACCACTGGGAGAAAATCACAGAGATCCGTTTCCGTTGAATATGGATCCAAATAATAACCAGAGGAGACTTGCTCTCTTGCTAATACTACTCTGCTCAAACATGCTGGGGGAAGGCAATAACCAAATTTCTTCACCAGTTTTTTCCCTGACCCTAACGGACCTGGGTGCTCAGTGTCATACTAGAACTCAAAACACTGTCCCTATCCCAGAACCATACTTCCACTCTCTGGAACCCCTACACTGCTTTTCTGGGCAGGCCGGAAGTATTTCAATCATGTACTTGCATGAAATTTCCAGCCATATAAAATATGGGATCTGTTGTATTCAATGACATGGAATTGCTGAGACTCTAGATCTTTCTCTTCTGAATGTTCATGCATCTCGTACCACCCCCATGCAACCTCTAGTATCATGAGAGCCAATATAAGAATGCAGAGAAGGCCTCATATTCTGAATATTCTGGCAACTCAGCTGTTGTGGGTCCAGCACAGCATGGTTTTCTTCCCTTAGCCCTGAAACTCACCAATGATGCAACATATTGAGTCCTGCTTAAGGAGTCAGCTGCCTGCATCCACTAACCAGAACAAGAGCTGCTTCCTTGACTCTGATGAAAAAATCTAGAGGGTTTATGATCTACAGTCAATTCCTCACACTGTCCCACCCCCTTCTCCACACCATCTGGGAACAGTCCTAGTTTCGGTTACTAAAACCCTGGGGCTGATGAGCCGATCTCTTGGGAACCTTCATCTCACCTTATGTTAATGGTGTTACTGGGTGCCAGTAGTTGCAATGTGAAGGACAGGATTTGAAACTGACTTGAAATTCAAATCTATATCTATCAGCTTGACTCCACAGACGATCCTTCTAAACATTATACCACTTTCAAAATCCTGAAATGTTATATTGAACCTTTCCAGAATTTCTTAATGAAACTATCCTATTACCTGTTTTTTTATATCATCCTGAATTCAACTCTGCTATTTGATATCTATGTGGATATGGACAACTAATTTACCCTATGTAAATCTCAGTCATTCAATAAATATTTACTTATTATTATCAACCATATAGCCAGCACTAGAATAGTCACAGGCATAAAACAGTGAATAAAGTAGTTAAGGTCATTGCCCTTATCGAGATTCCTTTACAGTTTTCACATTACATTATAGTATCAGTAGCTTCCCATTGTTCATTAAATAAAACTAGCTTTCTTAATAAGGACTACTCAACATTACACATAAACTGGGTGGACAGATCCCTGTCAGTTTTGTTCCCCATTAATGTGGTGTCTCACACAGTGTTTAGAATATAGTAGAATCAATACATTTTTACCTAATTAATGAAATCCAGGTCATACATAATCTGACACCTTACTACCTCTCCAGTGTATTTAGAACAACTTTTCTTGAAAGAAGTCACTGTGGCCAATGACAAAGAGGCTACTGCTTATGTTCTCTAGGCCTAATTTTGATGAATTCCTCTCTCACATTAAGGTCTTTCATTCATTTTGAGTTTATCTGTGTGTATGGTGTAAGAGAATGCTCCAGTTTCACTCTTCTGCATGTGGCTGTCTAATTTTCCCAACACCATTTGTTGAAGAGACTGTCTTTTTTCCACTGGATATTCTTTTTTATTTTATTTTTTATTGTTATGTTAATCACCATACATTACATCATTAGTTTTTAATATAGTGTTCCATTATTCATTGTTTGTGCATAATACCCAGTGCTCCACGCAGAATGTGCCCTCTTTAATACCCATCACCAGACTAACCCATCAGTCCACCCCCTCCCCTCCAGAAGCCTCAGTTTGTTTCTCAGAGTCCATCATCTCTCATGGTTCGTCTCCCCCTCCGACTTACTCCCCTTCATTCTTCCCCTCCTGCTATCTTCTTCTTCTTTTCTTTCTTAAAATATATTGCATTATTTGTTTCAGAAGTACGGATCTGTAATACAACAGTCCTGCACAATTCACAGCGCTCACCATAGCACATACCCTCCCCAATGTCTATCACCCAGCCACCCCCTCCCTCCCACCCCCCACCACTCCAGCAACCACCAGTTTGTTTCCTGAGATTAAGAATTCCTCATATCAGTGAGGTCATATGATACATGTCTTTCTCTGATTGACTTATTTCACTCAGCATAGCACCCTCCAGTTCCATCCACGTCTTTGCAAATGGCAAGATCTCATTCCTTTTGATGGCTGCATAATATTCCATTGTGTATATATCCCACATCTTCTTGCCATTCATCTGTCGATGGACATCTTCGCTCTTTCCACAGTTTAGCTATTGCGGACACTGCTGCTATAAATATTGGGGTGCACGTACCCCTTCAGATCCCTACATTTTTATCTTTGTTGTAAATACCCAGTAGTGCGATTGCTGGATCGTAGGGTAGCTCTATTTTCAACTGTTTGAGGAACCTCCATACCGTTTTCCAGAGTGGTTGCACCAGCTTGCATTCCCACCAA